GATATGGACAGTGAAATCCTGGCTGCTGAGGTCTCAGATGGAAATGCCGGATTTACTGTACTCTGGAGCAAAGGTTACCTGTGTTATGCCTTAGCAAACAGCTTGGCTGCATTCTCTTCATGTCTTAGGGCTCTGTGGAAGTTTGAACTTGAAAATAATGACCTAGGGTATACGGCAGAAGAAATTTCTATGCAGCAAATCATTCAAAATGTGGCCTGGCTGCTTTTAATAACCTACATTCAGATGTGGGAGCAAAGGAATGACTTAAAGCTGCAACTTATATTTAAAAGGGAAGCAGGGTATAAAAGTTTGGAAAATTTATACCGTAGCCATGAGGCAGAGAAAGAAAAAGCTTTTTCAAGAGAGGAATTCAAGCAGGCTGTGGAGCAACCACTTGCTAGAGATATTTGCATAACTAAAAGGAGCCAAGTCCTAATATCTAAGACAATGGGGGAAAGGCCTCCATGGCATTTCAGAGACCTTCATAGCAGTCCCTCCTATCACAGCCTAGAGGCATAGGAGGGAAGAGTCCTTTCATGGGCCAGGTCCAGGGCCCCATTGCCCTGTGCAGCCTCAGGACACTGTTACCCACATCCCAGCCACTCCAGCTCTAGCCTTGGCTCAAAGGGCCTCAGATATTGCTCATGCCAGTGCTCTGGAGAGTATGAGCCACTATAAACCTTGGCAGCCTCCATGTGGCATTAAGCTTGCAAGTGCACAGAGTGCAAGAGTGATGAGGCTTGGCACCCTTTGCCTACATTTCAGAGGATGTATGGAAAAGCCTTGGCACCCAGGCAGAAGCCTGCTGATGGGGCAGAGCCCTCACAGAAAACCTCTACAAGGGCAGTGCCAAGGGGAAATGTGGGGTTGGAGCCCCCACACAGAGTCCCCAATGGGGCACTGCCAAATGGAGCTGTTAGAAAGAGGCCATCCTCCCGACTCCAGAATAGTAGATCCACCAGCAGTTTGCACCCAGTGCCTGGAATAGCTGCAGGTACTCAACAACTTATGAGAGAAGACACAGGCGCTGAACCCTGAAAAGCCACAGGGGTGGAGCTGCCTAAGGCCTTGGGAGCCCACCCCTCACAACAGTGTGCCCTGGATGTGGGACATGGAGTCAAAGGAAACCATTTTGGAGCTTTAAGATGTAATAACTTCCCTGCTGTGTTTTGAAGTTTTGAACTTGCATGGAGCCTGCAGCCCCTTTCTTTTGGCAATTTCTTCCTTTTGGAATAGGAATGTTTATCCAATGCCTCTACTCACATTGTATCTTAGGAGTAAATAACTTGTTTTTTATTTACAGGTTGATAGGTGGAAAGGACTTGCTCTGTCTCAGATGAGACTTTGAACTTGGACATCTGTTTTTTTTTTGAGATGGAGTCTTGGTCTGTAACCCAGGTTGAAGTGCATTGGTGTAATGTCAGCTCACTGCAACCTCCACCTCCCAGGTTCAAGCAATTCTTCTGCCTCAACCTCCCAAGTAGATGGGACAGCAGGTACATGCCTCTATGCCTGGCTAATTTTTAGTAGAGACTGGGTTTCACCATGTTGGCCAGGCTGATCTCAAACTCCACCTCAGCCTCCCAAAGTGCTGGGATTACAGGCATGAGCCATCACACACAGCCTGGACTTTTGAGTTAATGCTACAATGAGTTGACATTTGGGGGGACTATTGGGAAGGCATATTGTATTTTGCAATGTGAAAAGAGCATGAGATTTGAGAGGAGCCAGGGTGGAATGATATAGTTTGGATATTTATCCCCACCCAAATCTCACGTCAAAATGTAATCCCCAGTGATGGAGGCAGGGCCTGGTGGAAGGTGTTTGGGTCATGGGGCGGATCTCTCGTCACCTGGTGCTGTCTTCAAGATAGTGAGTTCTCACAAAATTTGGTCATTTAAAAGTGTGCTGCACCTCCTTCCTTTGCTCCTGCTTCACCTTCTGCCATGATTGTAAGACTCCTGAAGCCTCCCCAGAAGTGGATGCCACTATGCTTCCTGTACAGCCCACAGAACCATGAGCCAATTAAACCTCTTTTCTCATAAATTACACACTTTCAGGGATTTCTTCATAGCAATGCAGAATGGCCTAGCACACCTCCATTGTCTAGAAAACTAAGGATAAAATAAACAACCTATGATTTGAAATAATCATGTGTCTATGTCAAGCCTTCCAATTTTGTCTCCCATATTTCACTATACAAACTATGCTCCAGTCAGTAAAACTGTGCTATTTGCTGATACCAAATATGTTTTTTTTCCTTCTCCAGCAATAATCCTATAGTCAAGAGATGCCTTGGGATGACACTACAACAACTGGGATATCAAGGGGCTATTTGTCTTTATCAAGTGTCTCCTGGCCCTCTCCCCTTCAGAAAGATCTCAACTAGGGAAGAGCCATCACTGAGGTCTGATCATGACCATCATACACTCATAAACTTCATTCTCCCAGATTAACAAAGGAGACTTCCCCAAGTCTGATTTTGTTAAAATGAAAACCATTCTAATCAAACCATAGAAGCAATTTATCACTAAACTGATTTTCATTTCGCCATCACTCCATTATGATCTGCTTGAGTTAATCAGAGGTAAGACAGAGGAAGCCTCAATTTACACTGAAATTTCTTAGCAATCGATGTTGCTAAAGAGAAATTCAGAACAAAGTACAGAGAACATTATGAGTTGGGGAAATATACAATTTTATTAATGGGCAGACACTCCAAAATAAATTAATGTATACATCTCCTTCAGTCAAGCTACTGAGGTTTTTTTAAAAACACACTACTAACATGGTGACAGATGTCATCAGTGTTGTAGTAAGAGCTGCAAATGTTTTAGAACTAATGAATTTTCATTAGAGACATCAGATAATTTCAGAATGGGTTAAGTTGCTACCATTTGCCATTCCGATTAATATCATTGTCATATAAAAGGTTTAATTTTCAGCTATTTTTGTTCTAGATAAAAATCTTTGTCATTAAAATGAGGGATGATTTTGATATTTAATATATTCCATGGCATACTCCAGTGTGGTACTAATTTGGCCTTTTCAGTATTCTGCATATTAATTGACAATCCATCCCTCCTCCATTCCCCAGATAAGTAAGAACTGAAATAGAATGGACAACCAATCAAGTCACAGAATACTGAAAAGATCAACACAGAAGGAATGTGTTGCTCTAATCAAGAGCATATACAAGGCACCAAAATTATTTTCTCCCATGCTAATGACTATGATAGAAACAGGAATAATGAATGGCACCATCTAAATCCTTTTATGTGACAGTATTACCAAAGCATAGCAATGCTCCCTAAAAAATAAAAACTAAGTATTTCTTATTTTAGTCAAAAGAATAAAGCTGTGGTTTCACTTAACTTTTAGAACAATGCATTTTGTCAGATTCTGCAACAATTGGCAGATTATGTCCTGTTTTGAATTTTTTATAGTAATCTATCTCATGCACACAAAATGTGTCCTCAAGTTGCAGAATGTCCAGGATCACTGCAGAAAACTTATTTCAATACATACTTTATTAGTTTCCTTCTCTTGTTGAATTATCACTCTGGTAAGAACTGACATCAGTTGCTTAAATAATACATTAATGCTATTTCCAGAAGCTATTGTTTTCATTTGAGTGGGCATTTCCTCTAAAGATGAACTTTAGATTTTTATCCAAGAAGATAATATAATTTGTCATAATTTAAAGATCAATTGAATGTTTTAAATCCGTTTTATAGCAATAATGATATAAATTCCCAGAGAGTAAAGATTATGGCAACATGCACACTTACAGCAGGTGTGAACAGTTGTCTAATTAAATCAATTAGCCCAATCTGTCCAACAAGACCAGGCCTTTTATACATTTTCTGCAATAGCACAAATGTAGAACAAATGTTAAAGATACTAAATATTGTGTATTATAATTTTCTATACCCTACTATGTACAGAAAAGCTTGCAGTCATCTGCAAGTCTCTCAAGTGAAAATCCTATTTCAATAACATCAGACTTTTTGTCCTTGGTAATTATGGTTAAGCCCAAATCACTCCCATGATCTTTTTCTGAGTCGAGGCCTCTAAGAAAAACAATAAATTTATCAACATAATGTCTTTCTACAGGCTCAAAATTACTGAAAAACAATCAATGGACACTTTAATCTTTCCACAAAATATTATTACTCTTATAGAAAAATTCATTCATTCTTAATAAGAATAATAGTACTTAAGTAACAATAACATATTTCATTCACAAAGATACGTTGTTGACAAATCAGCAGTTAAGATCTGTGCTCTAAGTTGTTCCTCTGTTTTGCTCTGTGTTTTCAAAGTAGTAGAATGGATTTATAACCTCATTGGTACATATACAAGATGGTGAAATGCCTAGACACTTGAATAAGCACTTTGAAAAAAAGCCCAGGATGGAGGTCAGCAGTACCTTGTTGTAAACAAGTTTTTACATCTTGCCCTTCACCACACCCTAAGCTTCAGAGTTTTCGTTAAGAATAAAAATGCAAAAAGTCAAACATGACAATAAGAATATTGCTTAAGTATAGCCTTGGGGGCTACTTCAGCATTGTTTTAAGATGATTACTAGACTTAATCCCTCTAGTGTTGGATGTTAAATTCCACTGACTTTTTTTTTTAATTTAATGACTTGCTAATGTAAACTTCCATCTAGAACAATCAAATACTATGTCATTTATTCAAATTTACAGTGCCTCTAATGTGCCAGCAAACTCCCTTGTCAAAACAGACAACTTTAAAAAATGTTCACTTGAGTCAGGAGCCCTACTTCCTAAATTAGCACCAAAATGTCACCTTGATAGGCCTATGAACAACAAAATCATTTATAATAAACCCAGCTTCCCTCTAGAGTGGACAGCCTAGTTCATGCATTTGTAGGAGTTCTAATTATTCCCTACAGATAAGAGAGCACTTGGAGATGCTCAAGCATCAGCAACCTGTCACCTCCAAATACAATCATCTGATAAATATATGCTTACCAATCTCCCTCGAGATCTGAGTGAAGGCCTCCACACCGCTCTCACCATAGTTCCCCTCAGAAGCCAGTGTCGACACATAATTCCATCCCAGTGCTGTCACGATGTCCACCATGGCTTGGGCTTGGTAGGAGTCAGGCGGGACCACTCGAGAGAAAAAGTCATACCTGGTGTTATCACTTAGCTCTGGGGCTGTGGATGCATAGCTGATTTGAGGTATCTGCAAAACAAATGATGGGTCATTTCAACCCAAGAAGAATCCTGAAGAATGATGGATTGTCATACGAGCTAAACAGCCAAAGCTATACCAGAAACCTAGACGTATCAGCCTGAAGCCAAAATACAGTTTTATGACTACCAATTTAATTAGAAAGTATTTTTGAATGATCCATAGGCTTACTTTCTCTCAATGCACAATATTTCTAAACAGTGAGAAAGAATTTCAGTTTGCTTTAGTTTCCATTGTTTCTGGAGCCAAAGCAAAACATTTGTGCTTTTTGTTGATGTTGCTTTTTTAGTCTGTACATGATAAGCTCTGGTGCAGAAACGAGAGAAAAACGAAGGTATATGCATCAGAAAAGGTCACCTCTGAAACTGGCTTTGGCTTTATAGGACATGAATCCTATACAATAACTAACAGGGAATTTAATATGAGATTTTTTTACTCTTGATGCCATTTCAGTCTTAAGACTACATTTTTAGTAAATTATTTTAAATATATAGTTTTACAAGTCTATTGACTGTTTATTGATATAATCAGAGTGCCACAAAAAGATTTGAGAATTGCCAGCAACCACATATCCTCTTATAGAAAAATCTTTCTAACCCCATCCAAAACATCACAGAAAAGGGAATCCAGACCATAAATTCTTTAGAAGAAGAGACTATTTTTCTTTTAACGGGGTGAATTGCCAGAAATTTTTCAAAACGAGGAATCTTATGTCATTTCTCAATAATGTAGGAGAGTGGGCTATGTGGTTGTGTCTAGTAACCCCTCTGCCGCCATGCCGTGGTATGAGTGAAAGTTCAGAGGTCAAAATGACTCCAAGACACCCTAATTCAGGTAGCTTGGTTGAAGATGCAGGTTTGACTTGTACATAAAAAAATTAACAGTGTGCTACATCACTTGCTGCAGCTAACATCAGTGCTCAGAGGATGTCAGAGGTTGCAGTTCCATCTTTCCCCACAGGGCTGCACACTCTGGGATCCAATAGTCCCCACCACAGTCTAGACAAATGATTCCCAATCTATATAGACGTTTCAACTCCACCCTTGATATATTTGTAAAGCTCTCAACATCTAAATAACCTTCCTAAGTCTAGAGAGTCCTATTCCATACTGGTGGCCAGTGAAATGACAGTGAAGTCCCTAAAATATAAAAGTCACTCTGGGAGCAGCAGCAGAGCAATGTGCTTGGAGCTGTCCAGGGTGCTGACTATTCATTCGGCTTCCGTGTAACTTGGATCCACCTACATTAGCCATAACAGTGAGTACCCAGAATAGCGTGGCCCATTTAACCCCAAATTCTTTCTGGTTCTGTTCTCCTAGTGGGGACCGTGTTAACTTACTTGTTAACACTGTGGGACCGTGAAAAACATCTGACCCATCTCATCCTGCCCTTTGCCTTCTCTGCCAGATGTACTGGCCTCATCTTGACCAATTTTTCCCCTGGTTAGAGGTTTTTTTTTTTTTTTTTTTGAGAAGGAGCCTCGCTCTGTCACCCAGACTGGAGTGCAGTGGTGCAATCTCGGCTCACCGCAAGCTCCGCCTCCCAGGTTCACGCCATTCTCCTGCCTCAGCCTTCCAAGTAGCTGGGACTGCAGGCGCCCGCCACCACACCCAGCTAATTTTTTGTATTTTTAGTAGAGACGGAGTTTCACTATGTTAGCCAGGATGGTCTCGATCTCCCATCTCGTGATCCACCTGCCTCGGCCTCCCAAAGTGCTGGGATTACAGGCATGAGCCACCGTACCCAGCCTCTCCTGGTTAGATTTTGTGCCTCCACAGCACATAACTACTCTCAAGGACACCCCTCCAAATCTCAAACCACACACCAAATCTTGCCACCTTTTCTTGTTTGTTTTCAGAGGATCTGGGAAGGAAACCGTAGATAACTTAGTGAGATCTAAGTCTTACTAGGTAAAAATTTCCCAAATATCAAAAGCATGTGCATTCCTATATTCTAATGAAAGTAAGTTAGCCACCTGACTTTCACTTTAGAATAAATTCTGTGTATGTGCAAGTATGGGTTGTGTGGGGGGAAGGGAATAGGGGAGCATTCTATAGCAAATTCTATAGCACTATACCATTTCTTTGTCCTATTTGGATACCGATACTCCCACTTCCTGAGCTACTAAGAGTCCAGCAGTAAAATGACTTACGCAACTCCCACCCTGCCTATAATAATGAGCCACCCTTTCTAAAAACGAGCAGAAAGTGTGAAAATTGAGTGTTTGAAACCAAAACTAATTATCTCAAATTACTACCTTCAGTCAGTCACTTCTAGGCTGTTTAATTAGCAGTCAGCCTCATGTTTAGGATTAATTAAACAGGTGTAAAGGGTATATAAAATAAAAGCGCAGATAGAAAATGGTTGTTAGATTCAGTAATGGACTTTCTCCCCAAAGTCTTGAAGAGTTTTCTCTTTGCAGATCAATGTGTGGGAAAGTAATGTGAGAGTATGTGCTTGTATTTTTATTTTTTCAGTCTACAATAATACACATCAGGGTATATGAATAGTATTTCAAGACAAGTTTTCAAGTTTTCATGTGTCACATCTCATTTTTATTTTGTTGTGGCAGACCACTAAGCATTGGTTTATTAAGCATTTTAATTTCTGTGCCAGCATCCTCAGTATTTCTACCATCCGCAAATTAAACCCCTACTGGCAACTGAAGTAGAAATTTTTTAAAGACCTGGAATGTTTCCTTTTCTTTTCCCTACATCAAATCCACTGTAACTACCCCCTTAACCTTGGAGGTTTCATCTACCAGAAACACAACAATGGAAAAAAATATGGTGAATGGTGAAGAGAAGTGAAGAAAAAAAATGAGAGGAAAAAGAAAAAAGCATACCAAGAAAAGAAGTTGCTAGGAAAAGCACCCATTATCAGTTCCCCCATCCTTTAAAAAAAAGCAATGTCTTTTATAAGCCTCTGTTAACTCCCATTGCCAATGTAAATGATAAAATCCAAACTCTTTGGTCTGATTCGCAAAGATCATCAGATTCTGTCTCATCATCCTCCCCTGACCTGTACCTTCTCCCCATATACTCACAGCATCTGCACCCTTCCCCATACCAGGGAGATTTAATACTCTCCTCTACCTAATGATCCTCTATACAAACTCAATATCCAGCTCAAAAGTCATCTCCTTCTGGGGAGAGTTTCACTGACTCCATCAGGCAGAGCTGTCTTTTGCTATTCCTGTCTTCCAAAGTCTCCACTATCTAACGTTAGAATCACGACTCTGCTGGCTTATGATCCTCTCAAGACCAAACAGGGTCTCTGTTTATTTGGTATCCCCAACACCAGGCAGAGCAATTGCTCAATGAATGTTTGAGGGCAATTAATTTATTAAACTGCAGCAGGAAATTTAATACAGCTTCTTCCCCAACACTTCCTCCCTCGCATTCCACCAAAATATTGTGCAGGCTATTCTCCATTTGACCTTCCTGATCCTTCGCTATCCCGCCAAAGACCCTAGGAGGCTGCTCTCTATGACCATACTGACTGGGATTCCTTACCTCTGGCATCTAGTTGAGTTTGTCCTGGAGGCACCAGCAGAACTTGGGAGAGCGAGGAGAGACAGAAAGAAGTTAGAGTATTTATCCCCCAGCTTCTTCTTCTACTGACTCAGTGATTCTCCACCTAACCCCTCACCGACAGCTAAAGCTTTTGCCAGATTCCAGTGACTACTCTGTACCATTGCTCCTGTAGGGTCTCCCCACTGTTGTTGGCTCCTGAGCACTTCATCATCCCTTGTTTTTTCTAACTGTGCCCATACTTAAAATAGTCTTTTTGTGAACTGCTCTTCCATTACCTCTGAGTGTGCCAGAAGCCTGAGGAACACTCCCCTATGACAAGTCTCTGTAGAAGACAACACTGCTGTGGCTCCCAAACCTCAGCCCTACCCTAACCTCTTAGCCCTTCTCCAGTCACCTGCCCTTGCAGCCTTCTCTACCACTGTCCTTAGGTGGCATTCTCCTTCATTTCCCTAAGGCATCCTATTGCATATTTGAAAACATCTGTCATTTTGCTTTTCTTCATTGCTTATTTTCTTCATGCTGAGGCTTCATAAAAATATCATATGTGCTTAAATAAGGCCATATTTCTATTACTCAAATAAAGCATATTTGAGTCAATTAATTATACAACTCAGGACACTCATCATCCTCTTTTTAAAAAAAAAAAAAAACTGTTTTAGATTCCACTTTTCTAATAATTATTTTGGTTAGGAAAAACCCTTTTTCTTGTCTCACTACATTCTCACTTCGGCCCACAGAAGAGGAGATTCCTAGCCCCCCAACCCCACCCTCTTTGGAAGCTCCAGAACAAATATTTCGTCTCTCACTCTCCATTCCTTTACTGACTTTCCCCAACATGGAGGGGGAAAGAAACTGAAGCCAGAGTTCTACGTTTATTGGGCAAAAGGGGACAGCAGGCTCTCCTTTTATTCTCTGACCTGTCCACGTACATCTCAGGCTTCTTTTCTCTACAATGTCAAGAGACCATGCAGGGCCTCAATTCTTGGAAAGGAAGCCCACCCTCTTCTCTCCATATTCCACTGGCAACCAGACACTTGAGAAATACTTGAAGTCCATGCTACTCATTGCAAGTGAACTTTAAGTCTTCTGTGCAGGCAGAAGTGGGTCCCAAGGTTGAGATACGGTGCAAGAGTAGGAGGCACAGGTTCAAGCTGAATTATCTCCAGTGCAGCTCTTAACAGAGAGTCATGTGCCTGGGGAGTTATTTAGTGCTTGCCCAGCTGTTAATAAAGCTAATTACTTGATCTTCATTTAACTAGCTATTCTGTGAATATTGGACTTGCAAACTCTAAGAAATTCCAAAAATTTGACTTAGAGCTCAAGGAGATTAAAATTACATTTCAAAAGAAATTTATTTACATATATTATTAATAGAAATTAGCAGAGATTATTGTCTTCTAGTGTCTGTTCTCCTTCTAGATGAAACCTCCAATTTTTACCTAGCCACCCAGAACA